GCTGTGAAAAATAAGAAACAAAACGGTTACATCCCTTGGACGTAGGAGGAGAGGATCACCCTGGCGAAGTTAATGGGGGAGGTCGACACCCTCATGGGCCATGGCTGATGCCAACAGACGGCATCAGTTTATGAAGAGGAAGGTCCTGGAGCGATATGCGTGGGTGCATGATCGGATGAAAGACACCGGATTCCGCCACAAGACAGCAAAGGATTGCTAGAAGAAATGGACGAACATGTTGAGCAAGGCGAAGCGAGAGCCGGTTAACCGACCCCCCAAAAAAAACATACAACAGCACCTCAAAAGTGCATTTTCAAGCAACTTGATTTTGCCAAAAAAAAATTCATCGGAATTTCAGGATTTTCAGGATGATCAACAACACAAATTCTAATAACCCTAATGACACCAAATTTGACACACAGCAAGCTTGTCCAAAAACAAAAACAGGCAAAAAAAAAATTTCCAAAAAAACACAAAATTTGACCCCGAGCCCTAATTTCAGGATCATTCATGGTTACTCAGGGCCGAAAAGTGGGGGTCCCCGTTAACCAGTTGCGAGAATGCGTCTGGCACAGTGCCGACACCGTGAACATGGACGGCCCAGTCAGTAAACGGTGACCAGCCGGTCATATGCTCCTCCTCCCGTGAACAACCATTCACGGTGACCGGACAGACCATGAACGCGCAGCAGAGACGAGCACCGGGAACCCAGATCTGCACCCACCTGCACCCACCCCACCCACGAGGACATTGGGTCAGGTGCAGGTCTTGATAAGGTGACCTGGGTGGCTGTGTAGACCCCCGTACGAATACGGGGCACATACGTACGTACGGGCTCATATGGTAGTACGGACCGTACGTACGGAAAAAAAGCAAAAAAACAAAATTCAAAAAAATCTGAAAAAAACAAATGTTATGCAGAAAAATAAACTGAAACACTTTTGCCTCAGGGTCATATTGAAATTCGTTACCACATTTGAGATAAAAAACAAAATGATTCATTTTTTTTTTTCTTCGTACGGGGCTGTACATACGGCCGTACGATAAACGCCCCATACGTCGTACGGGGTGCAACACAGCTGGGTGGGACGAGGGCGGGTCAAGGTCAGGCAGCCTGGGTGGGTGACAGGGGGTCAACATTAGGTCTGGGTCACCCAAGTGGGTGGGTGACAGGTGGGTGAGTACTAGGCCTGGGTCACCCTACCCACA